CTTCTCTACTCTACTTCAAAGTCCTCCTGATACCACAGTCCTTCAAAAACAAGTTTGAAGCAAAAAACTAATAACAAGGTCGCAAGATCAAAATTCGAAATAGAGCAGCAAATGCCATGAACCATACGAGTCACACCATAGGAGACAAACATTACAACAGAATATGACATGTGCTGCATGTCATTTATAAAGTTTACGGACAGATGTGTGTCATAACTTCATAGACCAACCAATAGAATTACTCCATCACCAGAGTTTCAGGCTTCAGAAATGTTGTATGAAACCATTGCAGTCTCTCTGTTTGCTCGTCTTCTGACACCCATGCTACTAGCAGCTTGCAGCATTGCCACTCACACGTCATGTTCACAGTCGCACTCGCATGTTTACTTGTTTTGCGTTCTTCCCCACGGTTTTCAAAGAAAAGACAGACTGCTCACAGTCTAGGTCCCCTTGTAATCCTTCATTGCTTCATCCTTGGCCATCCTTGGCCATCCTTGGCCCTCCTTCCCCTCTCCCCCTTNCCCCCCCCCCCTCCATTAATTCTTCCCTGGCCTCTCCTCACTCCCTTACCCACTCTACCCTGGATTTTGATAGACAGAATTTGTTTTGTTTTACACTTTGATTTATAAACTACAAAGTGTTCTTCCTGATACCAAAGAAAAAAATTCAGGTTTTAGTTTTGCCTCCAGGTTTGATTCATGACTAACTAAGGAACTAAGTAGATATTGAAAGGCTGTCAGCTTTTGCTGGTGGTAAGCAGCTCCTTGAACAAGATATTCAGAGCATTGTATTGGTTATTGGGCCATATAGGTGTGTCCTGGCTGGGTACGAACTGACATGGGTGGAGGAAATGCAAGCCGAAGCCCAGAAGAAGGTATGCACATTGCCTTGTTGACTGTTTGCTTCATTCTTCCTTCCTTTCTTTATTGGCATAGCCAGTCAATCCATTTTTGTTTATTTAATTTCAGGAGCTGATACACCAGTTTATTGTGCTCTCCTTCCAAAGGGAACAACAAGTCCAAATGGAGAGCTTGTGTATAGCAGGGAAATCCGTCCATGGCGTTCAGGCAAATCATCATAATCTGTTTGAAAAACTGTACCTAATTGACAAGTTTTGAAATATATGACAGTAATCTATTTTGCTTAGCTGAAGAAATGTGATGTATTGAGGATAAAGTTAACTCTGTGGATATCTAACAACCCATGTTAATTTAAAGTAGTACTGTGATTTCGCACACCTCAGATCATGCATTATATCACCCCCTCCCCCTTTCTCTTGGAGGGTCACTGGAAATTCCAAGCTCTGGGGGATCTGTGTCTGGAGGGTCTCATGCTAATCAATGTTTTTTGAAGAGGAAGCCAAACTGGAATTTCCAATGGGGGGAGGGGGGGTCAACCAAAAAACCTTCCACTGGGGGTAGGAATGTTTTCTAGAACAATACAAATGCATACATATTGCCGGTTTTCATGTGACGTCATCAATTTCCAAAATAAAAAATTACCAATCCTTGTGAAGTTTTAGTTTCATCAGATGTAAGACCCTC